CATAACAGCATGCTTGAAGTTGAACTAAGCAGTTTATTATTATTAATCAATGTCATTTCAGACATTTCAATCTCTTGTTACATTTTTCAAAAATAAATAAATATGTAAATAAGCCAACTGTTTGCTCTTGATACAAAATAATTGTGTTGTCTTTTATGTACTCTATGGCTAACTGTGCATCAAATTATTTATTGCATGACGGAGGCAAAGAACCACCCGAAGCGGAGATCTAGCATTCTGCTAGCTTCAAATCAGACACAGAGATGAAGTAAGATCACCTTTGAATGCATGAATTATAGCATTGATTTGAATTAATTATCGAGAGAGCGAGGGATGAAAGTTGTGTGTGTGAATAGCATCTGTGCGTCTCATTCTCCAAACAGTGAAGCTGTGAATTTCGTTACTTCAAAACATCAGTTTTACCCCCTAGAGTTGCTGAGAAATATTGCGATTCAGTATTGAAGCTATATTAATAAAACTTGCACGGCGCCTTTGACAACAAGTGTCCATGCTTGTGAATATTTCTGTGTGTGAGCACAATCTCCGATCTGTGTGTCTCTGCAAGTGATGTGTGTGTGTGTGTGTGTGTGTGTGTGTGTGCGCGTGTGCGTACGGCGTCTTGTGTGTCAATGAAAGCAGCGAAACAATATAGTAGCAATATTAAGTTAGTTGGAAAGAAACATTTTAATACTACACTGTAAAAAATGATCGTGATTTTAACGGTAAAAGACTGTAAAAATGCCACAATAAAAACTTGTTAAATGATTAACAGTAAGTTTCCTTACTATATTCACCTTATTTCGCCCCGCCCACGTTTAATACTTCGCTCTTCCGCATTTTGTCATCCGACTTCCGCTAAACTGATACAGCACATCCGGTAACTAGTTCAGTAGTTGTAAGATTGTTTATAGCTAGCTATAACTGTGGCGAAATGAAAAAGAACGTTAATGCCGTAAATGTTATAAATTGGGAGCACGGTGAAAACTGCTGACCTGATGACCATCTGCAGACTAAGTATCTTGTCTAATCTCTTAATTGTACAGTGGAGTAAGGTAAGTTAATATTTATAAATTACATATTATAAAAGGAGGAGGCTGGAGCTTGGAAGGGAAAAACGCTGTATATTCAGGTGTGCATACTTATTAGGCAGATTTTCTTTTACAGATAAAATGAGCCAACAAAGATTGTATATCACTTATAAAAGATTAAATACAAAAATAATAGTTATTAAGATTGATGTGGTTTGGAATTGGTCAAATATACTTGGGGAAAAAATATGAACAGAAAATTAACTTGCGTAGTAATTCTGCACACAGTGTACACAGTGTATATACAAAAGGTAAGGTAAAGGTAAGATTTGGTAGGTGTACATTAAGTGTAACATTAAGTCTAATCATGCTATCACCTGATACAAGGAATAAGGTAGGTTAACATCAAGTGTAATAATAATTAATGATTTTGAAATAAGACAACTGTGAAAGTTTAGACATTTATTTTAAGTATACAAACTAGTGCTGGCCAATGATTAATTGCATTCAAAATGCAAGTTTTTGTTTACATAATATATG